CCTCCCTTCCATTCCACCCCTCAAGACCATATCCTGTTTCCCCATCACCTCCTTCCTCTGGGTGGCCCAAGAAGGTGAGAGAGGCCCACTCTCTCCTCTGCTAACTCTCAGAGACAAGAAACTAGGTCTTTTAGCATAAGTCTGGGGCCAAGAATCAGGTGTCCATCAAGGGGTCAGACCTAAGTCTGCCCTCAACTCAAAACTCATTCCTCAGGGATCTATGTTTTCTGCTCCCTCAGCCACAGTTCTCTGTCCTTAAGGACCCAGACACTTGGGCTCCCCCAGATACTTGGGCTATCAGTCTAGTCTATCCATTCTCTGACCTTCCAGCCCCCATTCTTCCACCTGCCCCAGAGACTCAGGCTTCCTGCCCCCAGCCTCCATGATGCAATGTGCTGCAAGCTGCCTCTGCTGCTGATGACACTGCCCCCAGGGAGGTGCTATTTCTGACCCATGCAGGGCCCCTCACTGGACCAGGGTAGTGGTCAGCCACAGGCTAGGGAGGCCAGGTTGGCAAGGTGCTTCTGCTAGAGAAGGAACCTTGAGGCTGAAACCCTTCAGGACAGGAACACTAAGAATGTGGGACCAAGGAGTATGTATATGTGTGTAGTCTGTAGCATTTTTGTATATGGGTAAGTTAAAAGGGGAAGGGGATGCTGGGGGGGGGGTGTCTAGCCTAGAAAGAGGGGAATGCCAGGCCTTAGGACAAACCAAAAGGAGGATGAGGGACAGCCAAGGGGGTCAATTGGGTGTGTATGGGGTATCTGGACACCAGAGTGGGGGAGGGGCCAAGAGTCATTTAAAGGGCCAGCCCCAGAGCTTTAATCCTTCACCAGCCCTGGCCCCAAGCCTGAGGCTGTAATTCATCTGTCCAACAGCTGGGGTGGGTGTGTTGGTGGGGGGGGGATGTGGATGGGGAGAGGGAGCAGGGGGAGGGGCTGGGGCTTTCTTGTGCACAGAGCCAAACAACAAAAGGGGAAGCTGAAGGACCAACTCCAATGTGCCCAGGCCAGGCTGCTGACCTGTAGAACTGTCGGTGGCCCCCACCTGGTGACAGGCTCTATAGTTTGATTTTTGGCCAGACAGTCCATGAACCTAAAGGTGGAGCCCTGGAGAAAGCCCAGGCTGAATGCCCCCCTGGGCAAGCTGTCACCCCTCCTTGCACATTCCCAGACGTAGCACAGTCCCAGACCTGGCAGGCCCCACAACAGACTCAGCCTCAAATGCCCTACATGTCAGCCAAGCCTCCCCAGACATAGCCTGCCTGCTCCCCCTCCCGCCGACATAGGGTGGCAGCGGCCACACCGAGACTGTCCCTTTAAATCATTACCACCCTTGATTGTGTGGACTAACCGAGGGCCCTGCCCCCCAGGCAGGCGGCTTGCCACCTCCCCCCCAAGAGTCCCCAGAAATGTGAGGGCCATTTAAAGGGACAACAGAGAGGCAGCTGGGTCGCTAACGGCCCCCACCCCCACCCCGCTCACACGCTCACAGTCCCTTTTCCCAGCGACACATAGCCCCTTGCCCCATCCAGAGGGCCCCCCAAATTCCGGTTTTTTCCCCACCCCTAGAGACTGCTACAAGCAGAAAGGGGGCCAGAGTTGGGGGGCGGGGAACTGGGGAGCAAGAAAAGGACAGGGACTCCCTCCTTCCTCAGAGCCCCAAGGGACGGGTCGGAAGGAAAGCAAAGCCCGGAGAAGCAGCAAGAAAGAGCCCCGAAAGGTGCCGCGGGCAGACCTGGGGCGCACAGGCTGTTGGGCGAGGGGAAGGGAGTAGGGCTGCACGAGACCGCAGCTCGGCCAGCGGGAGACAAGCCCAAGTGGGGGAGATGGAACAAGGAGGGCCAGGGAAAAGGGGTAAGGCCGGGGCGGGTGGTGGGGGGGCGGTGAATGAGGAGACGGAACCGGGGAATGGGGTCATCCGGGAGGGCGTGGAGGAAAATCCGAGAGGAGAGGGTGAGCCAGGCCGGGGTTACCTGCTGGGTGTCTGTCCCCCGGCGGTGCCCCCGGAGTCCGGGTAGGGAGGGGGGGAGCAAC